AAAGTTCCCTCATAATTTCCGAACTCTCTTCATTTCAAAGTACATTTACATACATATTATTTCCGGGTTCAAATATTTTATACCATACTAAACGATCATACCTTGTTATTTAAACTCAGAGGATGTCTTTCTTATATATGCAAATTATTTGAGAAAGGAGAACTTCATGAAAATGTAAATTGATACTGAATTGAGACATTGTGAGTACCCATGCAAGACGTCTGTAATTTCTTTATAAAGGAGACGTTGGAATTTTTCACAGGATAATAAAGAGATGTATTACAAAACCAAGTAACGCCTCAAAGACAGTCATCAAGCAGTGCAAGAACTTAAAGAAATTAATTACATCCAGGTGGGCGTAAATTGAAGACTAGGTATATGGGAAAATATTAATAATATTATGATTGGTTCTCATGATTATTATAAATTATTGGTATACTTTTGCATATAGCTGAAGCAATTACCACAACACTTTTCTTGTGATGCACTGTATGAAACCTTTGGTGTTGTAATAAATATTACTGGAGTTTTATTCCAACACCAAACCGTTTTTTAACACCTCGACACATGTTTCGATCACCATGTGATCATCTTCAAAAGGAAGATTAAATTCAACTCAGTTGGTTGTTGGGATAAAACTCCAGTGATATTCAACACTTTTCTTGACAATAATTTATTTTGGCATATTGAGTGTCACTGACCGAAAATTTATTCTTATAGTAGAATTACTGAAGAAAATCAATGAGTATCAAATTAAACCTGTATCGTGGATGAAGTTGTTTGGAGCGATGCGATAGAATTCGTATTGTGATTTCATTATTTATACTGTATTTTGTGAAACGATTATGTGAAATTGAGAAAAGTCGTTCCGCACCTCTTAAAAATTAAATTAGATATTGAAATGCGATTTTGAAGATCTTAGGGAAAGTTCTCTCCAGAATTATAATTTTGAACTTTGTTGTGACAGTATGCATGCGAATGATTTATACAGGGTCGTATGTACAAATACATAGTTTTTTGAAGTTTCGTTTTTTCCGGAAATCGAAAAAAAAAACATTTAGAATAATTTTATTTTTTTCAAGGACACTACAGGGCACTACAGGAAATTCCTTAATGCGCTCTAAGAGCGGTGCCTGTGCGAAAGTAGTGATTCACATTGGATTTGAATCGCTGGAAATGAAATTCATTTAGAAAAACGTTCTCACAAAGCTTATTCCATATAAACGTAATTCTCCAAATGAAAGAGATATTAAACAGTGAAGTTCGAGGTGCAGTGAGTTTAACCTCAAAATGATGAGCAGCCATAGTCCGTCGCGAATTTCTAATATGTACATCTTCGATGTTCCAGACTATCAAGGTTGCAAGTGATGTTCGCGTCTCCAATCAGGCGGATGACCCTTCTCTGGATGGAATCCAGCGGCTTCAGGGTATGTTTGAGGGCGTAGCTCCATACATGAGAACAATACTCCAAAGAAGGTCTGATCTGAGCTTTTAAAGCATCAAAAGTTGCTGAGGTGTGTACAGTTTTGTGGTTCGGTTCATATAACTTTTGTTCCTAAAATCCTTCGTTACCAAGTTACGAGCCCTCAAAGTTACAAAATGAAAAATGTCTTTCTTTGATAACTTTTCAAGTTAATACTGAAAATCAACCAAATTTTGGTAATTGACTAAACAAATGGATTGCTTTGATGAGCTTTCATGTAGGATTCAGTTGTTGTGCTACAAGTCAGGAAAGGATTACTTTTATTCAAAAAATTGTCCTGGTAACCTAATTTTGTTGAAAAATATCTGTCATTTCAAAGTTTTGGGGTGTGGACCATCAGGGTAGTCCGTTCCTGACTTTGTACCCCAAAAACTGACTCCTAAATGAAAGCTCATCAAAGCAATTCATTTGTTCAGTCAATCACCAAAATTTGGTTGATTTTTAATATTCACTTGGAAAGTTATAAAGGAAAAACATTTTTCATTTTGTAACTTTGAGGTCCCGTAACTTGATAACAAAGGATTTTAGGAACAAGTACTGGTGATATTTTGTCCCCTTCTATTCATTCCGAGGGACACCCTGAATTCAAATCATTTGATTTGAATCAGGCCAACCCTGAAATACGCCCTCATTTATTCGAGTTTTTCGGTAGTTTTTCTCAACAATGCCAACGTACAGTTACCTATGTATCCCAAAATTGTTGTCACTGAGGAAGAATCGTAGGTTGAATATCTCAGTCAAAATATGGCGAATTCACAGGTCAACCACAGTTTCAATATTATATTTTGAGTATATAAATTTTGGTACAAGTGCTAAAGGATGAATCCCCAACTTTTTGTGTATGATGATGTAGATTACATCAAATTGTCCGAATTTACAAATTGAGAAATTAGTCCAGATTTTCCGATTCCTCAGTTAAGTCCAGGTAGTCAATCAAAATTTTTAATAATAAAAATTTAAAGTTTGTTCAAATGTATGGGACTCACAAATTTGATTTTGTCTTTCTACTTCTGTTTCTGCACCATGGTATTTTCGTGTTTATTTTGTAGAAACTGATTCCTCCTTAAAATATATCTCTTCAATTCATATTTTGAACTGAATGTTTATAAAAGTGGGTAAAAAATTTACCCCATTCAATTCAAACATTAAAAATTAACCTTTTTGGAGTTGTCCCAGAAAATGCTTAAATGTATTATATTCCTCGAAGCGATCCATCCTTCTATCACGAAGGGTTTCCCAGCAGTTTGTAATTATTTTCACCCCAATAACCACAAAATGTGTAGCCATGTATTTTGCGTAATGACGTTGAGACCGTATGAAACTTGCGTAAGCGTTAGGATATTAGTTAAATGCCTGGAAAATTTTACCGCATGAATGAATTCCGAGCAGTTTGATCAAAATAATCAATATATCACGTAAATTTGTGTTTCCGTTCACCTGTACAAGCATTCGGGGAGAATCGGGCATAAAAATTACGATAATGTCTGCATGAAATGATATAATGTGTGATTTATCGACAAAGTTATTTATATATAAAACTCAACCTTCTTTCCACATTGTATAAGCTATTATGGTACGCGAATGAAAACTACTTTCAGGAACACAAATAAAGAAAATACTTTTCTGCGAAAAAGAAATATTTCCCTAAAAAATTAATTTGCGATACCTTTCAAAATAAAATTAGTTGTTATACACGTTTCAAGAAGAATTTCTGAAAAAATATTTGAATACTTTAAAAATTCTGTTAAAAATCTGTTTTTCCGTTAACCAGCTGTCGCACCTCTACAAACGACAACCCTCAGAAGTCGAGACTTGTGCGAGCTAAGGATAAATGAGGTCTTACCTCCTGGATTCCTAACACGGGTTGGACGACAGCAAGTGAAAATCGATTGTACAGCCTAGGGCTTGAACCACCGACCAACAAGGCAATCGATTCGATTGAGTTAACAAAGCAACCACGTCGAACTGACCGTCTACCGACCGACCCGGCTACCGAAGAAAGTAATACATATCATGAAATTATGAAACAACAACAAAAATTAATTGGCGCTTCGGGCGACTTCATTGATTCCAGTGGCGCACTTGCTTTTTCAGCTACAGGAAAATCCGGAAAATCCTGCAGCACCATATCATCTGAAGATCTTGATCTGCCAATGTCCTCTCTTTCATAAAACAAAATGAAGGGTGTCTCCAGAGGCTCTTATAAATTGAAGACATCGCCAGAACACTTAGTGACACGACTATCGTCCAACTTAAACAGTGCGTTTCGTCTTTGACCAATGCGTAATAATGATCAGATTCAACGCCAGAACCACAGTGAACAAAACCTCGTTCTTGAAATTCTTCGTCATGAAAAAACTATTAAAATGCTATTCATGTAGCAAGTGTTTCCTATATTATCTAATCCACTTTTCTTCGCAAGATTTTCTGGACAACTGTCTACTGATTCGTAAAATTGAATAAATGAGTTGCCTTCCATGCTTGATCTCAAGAGTCAACTACTTCATTATCATTATCATTATAATTCTTCTACCAAATAGAAATAAAGTACCAAACCACGATGCGAGTAAAAAATTACAACAAGATAAACAAAAAAGGGAGCAAATCTCTTAGCGAGGATATAGCTAAATATCTTTTTTCTCAATTGTTGGAAAATCAGGACCGTTGATTGGAAAACCTTTCATAGTATAAACTACCGTTTCAAAAGAAAAAACCAATGTTGAATTTATTGTCAAAAAAGGGAAACAAGTGGAAGGGTTGAAGAAAAATGGTGGTAACGGCATTTAATATACGTTACTGTCGATGTGACGTATCACATGAGTAAAATGTCTAGTGAGAACTATCAAAAGATTTAGTGTCGAGAAAAACAGTGAAAAAATCAAGTTTCTTCTGACATCAAGAAAGTAGCAAATCATTAGTTGAATGATTTTGGCAGAAGTGTTAATATCAAGAAGAGTTATAAGTAAAATACACTGAAGGTTTAAGAGTTACAAAACTGATGAATATCCATTATCAACAGGTCTTTTGACTATGACAAAAATCCAGATAGTATTCTGAGACATTCATCACTGGTTGGTCTATGATGTATTGCTATCATACGATTATACAAATAATCTAAATATAGAATGAAATTAATGAACTTCATATTTTTACAATTTCAACTTCAAGATTTGTCGATGAATTTTTGTAAAAAATATGTCTAACCATATTGTTTACACTCGAAGAAAAATCCTGTTACATGATCCTATATCGAACAAGACGTTGTACAATCCAATATTGATTTTTTGAATGTTCCGTAGTACTATTTTCATTCTCTCTGATGTTATCAAATAAACTCCATCAAAATGCCTGAAATGATATTATATACTTGACTCAAAACGTAGGATAAAATTTAGTTGAAGAGTCATCTTCGAATGTATTATATCATTTTACTACTTTCGACAATCCTTATTTCTGTGGTGGTATAAATCATTTTGAAGCATTTACAGAAAAAACATCAAAAGTAAAAAATACTCACTGTCCAGCCATTTGGAGTCATATTTGAGGGTTCTCTTGAAACTGTACTCCTTTCTGCCTGTGGTGAGATTATGAAGATCTGTTCTAAAGATTACTGTGTCGGCTTTCGTAAATTCGGCATTGGTTCCCGAATAAAGACCTGCTAGGTCTCCAGGATTACCTTTCTCTACCCAAACGGCGGTCGAATTATCCGCAGGATCGTAAGGACATTTGGCGATTCCCATTCCTATTCCTGGGACGAAAGTGTTTCTTGGGAGGTGCGTCAGATTCGACTATAAGAAAAAATTACATTAATATACCAGCACATAAGTCTTTTTGGTAGTAAGTGTGAACTGAATGAAATTCAAAGTAACCACCTGTAATACAAATTGGGTAATAATTAGTTATTTCTCTTCACCAAAGGGTGCACGTATATTGTACATAACACGTCTAAAAACGCATCTCGAAAAAAGGTTCCGCCATATCTGTATCTATCGATTAGCCACATTTTGTCCAAGAAGTAGATGATACATTCATATAATGATTACTCAATATAAATCTATTACTATCTCTCAATACGTCACAGAAAAAAAATACACAGAGAAGAAGGAAAGGTAAGACATAAAAAATTGGAGAGAAGCATTCATATATCAACTTGATGCGGCGATTGGTACAAGTATATTGCTTTGCCATTTTAATTGCTTTCATATTATGAAATGTTAGCGGCTTTTTACAATTCTTGACATATAGACCTCAATGGCATCCGTGCCGAGAGGATGCATGACACTGAGCCTATCAGTTGTCTCTACGGAACCTTCGAGTTACCGGACGCCCTCTCGTCGTAGCACCGCCTTATCACGGTAATGCAGGGCTCTGACGTGATTGACCTTCTTTCCCTAGCTACTCGTGGGACTTTTATAGACAAAGTAAACTTAAAAATTCTTTCTGATGCTGATTCTACAGATGAGATGGATGTCGAACTTACGAATCCAACTGACTTCCCTGTGAATTCAGATCAGGAGCGAGTCTACAGAGGAGATGGATGTCGAGCTTACGACTCCAACTGACCTCCCTGTAAATTTAAATAAGGAGCGAGAGCTTCTCAACTCTCCAACTCCTGATCCAATAACTGAACCTAAAAAAAAGGTTTGGTGGTGCAGCCAGGAAACGACTGAATCGTCTCCTCAAGAGACGACGGGGTACTTTATGAAACCGCCTTGTACCAAATTCTTGAGCGGCGTAAGCAGAATCTGTCTCAGGTGGAGGAACAAACCCCCCATGAGCAGGTTAGCAAACGTTTGCGCTCAAGTGATGATTCACCAAAACCAGAGGCGAAAAAGCCCTGCACGGTTGAATCTAACGCATTGTCAGGTGTAGCTGACGTTCAAAAACCCTCATACGGAAAGGTTGTCGCGGGTATCAAGTGGGAATCTTGCACCTTGACCACCCGACTACCTCATTGAAGATGAAACAGCAGAGCTTATACTTTGTGCCTTCCCCGCTGGGGACCTAATCAGGTTTTTAGAGTTCGGCAGAGCCGTACTCTTACCATCTGAGCTGAAAGACCACTCACCATACAAACTAATCGGCTTCGTTAAGAAGCTGGGTTTATTTGGTCGAGTGTGAATAAGTGTGAGCCACAATAAACCCTTGCGGGTTGCGGTGGACCTAACCTAACCTAACCTATATCCGACTTAAAAGTCATCTTAACCCAAGCATGATATCCATGAAGGGAAATAAACCATATGCAGGATTAAAACAATGTTTTCCGTAGATAAAATCTTTACAAATAGCGTGGTGGGATAGATTTTCCATTTTGTACACTGGGTACATTACTAAAACATGGAAAACATGTTCATATATATAAAAAAAATGCTGTTTCCAGAGTTTGTCAAGCTTTTGAAAACTATAATTTTTCGGGGTACTGAATCTAAATCCGATCAAAACTTGGTCGGATACGCAATTCAAAATAGTGGTCAGATATAGGCATTAAAAAAATGACAGAAATTTCAAATAGTTTTCATTTCGCTAAAATAACACCTATTGGGCTGAAATTTAGAATCAACAAAACCCCATTAAAAAAAAAGTATCCACAAAATGGCACCTTAAAAAGTATATCATTTTCAGAGCGTGTTTCACGCATATAACATTGAAAATATTCAAAATATCGACTTACTACCAACACACATAAAATGAGAGCATTTTAACTTGATCAGGAGCTGAAATTTTTTTATCAAAAATTTGCCACCCTTTATTCATTAACATAACGCAAAATTTGCCGTGTCTTGCTACATCGAATGATTAATTGGTTTCGGAGGTAATATAGATATAATTCCCAAGTACCAGCAAAGTTTGCGGGTAATGTAAGAAAAACTGCAAGCAGAGTTTCAATTATTCATTTCAAAATGGAAATAATATCACTTTCAAACCATGCGTTAGGGTGTGGTCGAACCCACAATTTTACTAAAATTTTGCTGCTCTCTTAATTTGTTATCATGAATAACTTTCTATTTCAACGCGGTATTTTATTTACAGTAAAATTACAAAAAATGGAAAATTGAGTGGGTAGTGGAGCTTTTTTTTGAGTTCTGAAAGTCACTTCTTCAACAGAAGTAGTCAACACCATAATTATTCATTTTTGACATAACTAATACTTCAAATGTTATTATTTCCAGAAGCTACCCCAGAATAAAAAAAATATCAAAATCTGTTCAGAATTGACGAAAAAATTAATTTTTTTTGAGCGCTGCAATTTCAAAGAATTTTTTTCAGCCGTTCGGCATCGTAGCACTCCAAAAAGTGTAATGTTCAAAGTCGCGTCTTCTGCAAATTTTTTTTGTCATCATGAAGTTCAAGTATTCCATCAGTTTTCTGTGAAAATTTTAGCCCTTAATGTTCATGAGTAAAGGTGTAGTTTGCTGTTCGAGAAAATCGCCAAAAAATTTGTGGATGGAAATCCGTATGCTCCACAATTTCCTTTTCAACAAACTTAGGAGAGAAATGTATACTGATGGTTAAATATGGGATAAAATTAATAGTATCAGGCCTTTAAAATCTAGCCTATTCTTACAACCATTTTTCTGAGTGAAGGGCACTATATAAGACATATTAGATACTGCAAAACATCACTACATAATCTTGACGTTATACAAAATACACTGATCAAAATCGCTTTGAAGAAGAGTAGGAGATATTCTACAGAGTTACTCTACGAACAAAGTGGTTTTTTCCAAGTTCAAAATTATACGCCTCCTCCAACCAAGCAATTACAATAACACAATGTAGATTTAGTCATAACCAGAAATTTTTAACTTATTTTGGCCAGAAATTATACAATAAGTTGCCACTCCATATAAAGAATATTAATAATTACTGTAAATTAAAAAATGAACTGAAAGTTACCATTAGAAATCATTATCATCAATTCCAGGATATCTTTGAAAATGTTTGAGTTAAATTACCTGCTCTCTCTCTTCTTATTACCTCTCTCTAGCCATAATGGGAAATGTGGAATGAAATAATGCATTCAATATTTAAAGGGATACGTTTCTATTTCACCATTTGGCAACATCGGACAATGAATCTGTTACTTGTATGAGACAAACAAAGACGACATATTTCAGAGGCGTGCTGTTCTGTTCACTTATATTCCAACTTTCGAGACATTCTGTGATATATGACATTTTGTGCACCTAACCTATCTTCCTCTACATAAATAAATAACAAAACAACTGTTTTTTATGTGGCTTGTGGAGGTGGTATTGAACTATAATTTATATTTTGCCTTAATTGTTGATTTTTAAAGATAATTTTCCTTTTTAGCTTTACACTAGAGTTCATTTACCTTCATCATTTGTTGTTGTAAATTTTTGTCCGCTAGAAATTTTAGCATAGTTTATGTACAGTACTTCAACTTTGAAAGTTTCAAGGAAAGTTTTCACTATGCTATAAGTATCGTTTGTGAATTCATCTCATCCCTTTCCATTAGCCCGTATTCAACGGGTTCAATATTCTACAATAACTCAAAGATTTCTGTTATTACTCCTACTCAGAGGAGATAAGAAAGGGAAGCCTGCACCAAGTTCGCAACGGGAGATATACCTAAATTTATTAAATATGTGAAAGGCCGCATTGAAAATTCCGAAATGGAAATTGGGGGCGAAAGTCAAGCGTTATGAGCCCAATAATAGCCAAAGAAAATGGAGGAATTAATAAAGTGAAACACGAGCGAAACTAATGTGATGGGAAACCTTAGTGCCAGTAGAACGGTTTACTGTAAAATGCGATAAGACAGTTCTTTCCTTCTTCCTACTCTCGAAGTATCGTATTAAAGATTCACGCCGGCATTATCGATGGGTTTCTAGCAAAAATCACATCGATTTCACATTTAGCTTTTATATCGTTCAATGCAATGGAGGCAGTGACGTGGAAGGTTCAATTTTGCGTATAATTAGAGAGCTTTGTTTTTTGACAATGAAAGTGGTGAAACAAAAGAATGTTCTTTTCCGAAGTTGGATTCTAATGAGCGAAACACTTCTAATATTCTGGCTCACTTTCAGAAGAGTAACTGGATTTTACAAAAATATTCAAACATTCAGGTGATCATATACCTCGTGGGTCTATATTATAGTGCAGTATTCAGTTCGATATTGATTTATCTTAATTTTTCTGAAATTAGTTTTATCAAATATACCTTTCTGTACCATTAAAGTCAATCAGTTTTTGAGTTAATGTATTTGAACTGCATTAATTGGAGAAGTCTTGGAAATAGCATTTTTATCAATTCTATTGGAATTTTAATTTTCATCAATGTTTTATGTCATGTAATTATTTGTTGTTGGTGATATGGTTAGTACAGTTTCAGAAATTCAGAAAAAATCTTATTTCACAATAAAGTGATTTGCTTTTTGGTGTTTTTACTCCTACTATAAGCAAGAGAAATATTTTTATAACTCAATATCCCAATACCCCCTATTTTCTATATTTCTTCTAATGCCCATATGAGACATAATTCTGAAGACGAATACAAAATTGTTCAATGTACGGAATTTTTGAAAGTCTCTCTCGAATACGATTAAAAAAATACAATAAACTCTCATGAAAATTTGACGATATCATGCTAAGATAATGAAAAACTTTCCAAAAAACCTAGAAAAACAATAGATTTCATTTATTTATTCAGTTCTGGATACAAACAGTTTGGAAACAAAAACAGTATCCTCCAAAGAATACATAGACTCCATTATCAATGAGAAAAACACTATCTAAGAAACATGTTGAGGTAATAACCAATGCTAATGGCTTCATCAAATTTACAATATAACAATATTTCTCAAAAATATCTTACAATATAAACCCTAATAATTTCTTTAGAAAAGAAAATAGGATGGCACAGTAAATTATTATACCATGAATAATTGTTGACTGCAAAATCCCCAGAAGGCAACACCATATCTCAGGTGGGACTCAATCAGGGAATGATATACCATTTTTGTTGTGGATGAACTCAGTTCATTTGAAACTATTCGAAGTGCATAACATCCTGATGCCAATTTTTTATTCAAAGTTTAAATATGTTGATCAAATTTTAATTTGTTATCCATGAAGATATTGATCTGTTATTTGTGTCTAATGATTCTATGTCTTTACCTGAATCCTTCCCGTATTTAGTAACAAACATCTACGCCTCTGAAAATACAGGTCGAATGTATTCAGGCAGATGCTCTTGCAAATCTCTTCATTTTCATTGTCCTGTGAAAAAGCCATTGTTGCTCTTGAAAAATTGTATCAGTCCATTGCACTGAAAACTCTGTTATAAATCGTAACGCAGTGGGGGGAGTATGCTGAACAGATTGTTGGAAAAAACCAGAATTGGATTATTCCCACCTCAGCCAGAAGATACGAACCTAACTGAACAAATTTTTATGGAATCTTGAGGGTATCATGCAATTATTTTCCAGATAGAAGTTTATTACCTCCACCTGGAGGTTAACAATTTACTGATAAAAGCAAGAGTTGAAACTGTCATGAAACGAAAACTTAGCAATACCATCCAAGATCGAAGAATTTCGATTAATTTATTCGACTAAAATATATCCTTAGAACGAGCCCACCAAGATCCATACACCATAAACGTTGAGAACTGTTCAATTTGAATTGAGGTGAAGTATTCACTACGAGAGGAGTATAATGTAAGACTGAGAAACGTGAAATATTTTGACAATAGCTTTTTGACTAAAATATCTGTGCGATAAATATCTGTGAAATATTCTTTTTTCACATCAACGACTTCAAATCGGGATCGCAGGGTATTCTCTTGGAAAATGTTTTCGTAAGATGGCTAAAGTCAACATGTGATTAGATAATACTGCTTTTGAAATGGAAGCGAAAATGATAGTGCAACTGTAAGGAACTCAAATACAACCACTTACAAGTTTTCTCGTTCGAATATGTGATATATTTTAAAAAGATGAGGAATTGAAATTACGAAATTGACAACGAGGCACCTCTCAAATTTCATTTTCCAATTTGAACTGTCGAGTATCATTAGCTCATACAATCCAGCATATATAAATATCGGGATATTATTAATATATTCACCTGAACGAATATGAAATCAAGCCCGAAGTTGACTAAATATTATATACTGGTTGATGAACTGTATTTTATTATATTAACCACTCTACTGAGTTTCAGCTGAGTATGTTCAAGATATTAGTTTTCTCAGGAACACAATATTACCATATTTTAAACTGATGTATCTGTAATATCGTTGTATATATCCAATATCGTTGTAAATCTTATTCAATTGTACCAGATGAGTCTTTAATAACACAATTATTGGAAATGTCAGCCACTGAGAGTTCACTGAGCTATAGGCAAAATGAAAACAGTCATGAGAAATATGTTCAATTCGACTGTAATAATCTAAAATTCTCAGAAAACGAACCAGCATGTATCCCTAATAAACTTTTATCCCGTTTTACAAAACAAATCTTTTGGCTTCGTATCTCTCCATGTTCATAGTTAACACTGGAAATTCAAGAAGGAAAAAAGTTAACAAATAGAATGAAACTACGCGAATGCATACACAAGAATTTTAGTGAATCGTCATTGAAGTTGTTCAAAATATATCTAGCTTGAACCTTGAAGGAAATGGTTTCAGTGAATGGAATTTTAGACCATACTGTTTCACATTGAGCAATGTTTTTCATGAATGGATGTTTTTGATTTCAATTATGAATTATTGGTATGCTAGACTTTTTACATCCAAAAAGAAGTTGCATCCAAAAAGAAGTTGCAAGTTTCTTTGTTATTGCTTATGAAGGAATGCTTTTCATTTGGGATCTTTTCAGGTGGTTTTGAAATTGCAATTGTGTTACCTAGATAACACGAATTCTTTTATCTGAGATATTAAAACCAAGACTGAATAAATATATGAAACAGAATACAATATTTTGTTCGGGGCATCCAACTTCAGGATTAGAGGTATTCTGGTTAAAAATACTAACTAGATTGGGAGATTCGTGACGGAAACTGAGACATCAAGCAATGTCAAAGGAAGATTATTTAATTCAAATAAATTACTCAAGTATGACAGGAACTGAAAGTAAGTGTGACACAAAATAACAGGAAATCAAAACGAATATTAAGAGCGGTTCACAGAGAAATTGTTTTTATATCGAATTCCGTTCCAAACTTTCATTAAAATTATCACAATTCCATACATTATCTTATGGATGTAATTCTGTAATTTTTTCCTCAAAAATAAATGTGTTCATCAATACAAATTTCTGATGTAGAGGAGTAGCCAGTTAGTTTATGTAGCAACATATATATCCACTTCTATTATCGTTCTTCCTCTTCATTGATTTGTAATGTTCCTAATATACTTTTATGTTGAAAAGAGTAAAAAAAATAACTCACATTGAGAACCCAGTCCTTGGGATTGTGGGCATTCGTTCCGCACACGTACAGCCGATTACCATCGGACATGGATTGTATCACTCGGATGTGATTGCGGCAGTCGAAATGCTGTAACAACAACAACATATTAATTTATAATAGTAATGAAATATCAATAAGAAGACTATGTGATTTTCACTGTTGATGAAATTTCAATCGCCATAGTGTTTATTACCCCTCGAAAGTCCAAAAATCTAAGCGAATTTGATGTCAAAGTTGCAAAAAACATGTCAACAGAAAATATTCCTTAATTTACTGAAATATACTCGCTCTCTGGCTTGCATAACATACATATATTCCATAATATACAAATGCAAAATAATAAAAAAAGATTTGGTTTTCATTCATTCTTCCGGATAATAAAATTTTATTTAATAGAGTCTAGCGTTATGTAGGCGATAATAAATATAATAACAAAAACACGATAATAAACGATTTATTACGTCGAAGGCATCCGACTAAATAGTGGACAGAGTTGTGTTGTGTTCAAATGGGCAAGTGACGAAAGGCTTTTATTTCTGGTATTAGGTGAAGAAGGTTCACTATATTAATAAATTTAATGTACCTATCTAAATTGACGGAAGCCGCCCCGCCTCAGCACTTGTAATAATAATGGTAATAATTTATTCACCATCAAAATCAATAAGCATAAACATTGAGTACAGTTCGAAGAATAAATGAAAAGCGAGCATCCAGAAGAGGTCATATTCTGTTTATGGATGAATATAAAATACAAAATTCATACATGAAATAAACAAAACAGTCTGTTTTTCCGTTAACCAGCTGTCACCCCACTACGAACGACAACCCTCAGAAGTCGAAACTTTTGCGAGCTTTGCTTTCAACGTGCGGCACGGGTTGGACCACCGTTTCACCTGACGGTCGATTGAATAAGTGAAATAAACCACTCACGCCAATCCAACTGGCTATTGTTCCACAAAAGAAGTGAATATTATATATTTCATGTTTTATTTAACGTTCATGATTTTAATCATTGATGAATGCACAAAATGCAGAGTTGTTGTCTAGTCTCTAAGATTGCAACACTACAGAGTGCACCACAATGATGTACAAGACCTTCCGAGTATATAACGGATTATCATACGCTCCCAGATTCATTCACGAATTGAAACATGAATAAATTAAAATATAAGTACATTGCACATATTCCTGATGAATTATGTATTCATTTCCGCGTATACTTGTGAATATTTACATTCTCATTTGTGAAAATATTTGCATCTTTCAAGCTCCTTTTGATTATATTATCAGTATTTCTTTCTGTATCACCACTTCACTTTTGTTTATCTAATGTGTCACTCATTTCACCCATTGGTATACTAATTAGCCATATCTTCAGTTTTTAAAAATTGTAATTATCTTCATTTCGGAATTACTTCTGCAAAGGCAATAAATAGTGTACAAGTATGAGATGAAAAATTCCTGACTTCGTGATGTAGATACTTTTGGGATTCTTGAAAAATTTTGCCTAAATCTGATATTGTGCAGATGATCAACAGGCAATAATTTTGTTTCATGTTTTCTACGGTACATGGGCTACATGTGAAGAATTGTTAGTCTGAGTAGATTTTCATCAAATAAGTATAATTTTTATTGAAAATAATTTTTACCAGCAATTTTTGTGTGAAGTTGGGATGATTATCAGTAATTCCGCCTCAAACAACCATTCTATAGTTGATATGGGAATATACTGACTGAAGTGTAATGTTCGCAACTGTGATATACTGAAATATTATTGAATACCTTGAACTTATTCGAGAATAACCACATTTTTCCCGCCACATGTTTTGCGTGCTTATTCTACCTCAGATTTTCATTTACTATTATCTATCTTAGTAGCAGAGCATATATGCCTACATAATGTTGCATTATGAATTTTCATTTTTTCCTGAAAATTTTATACCCTTCAAAGTAGTCCCTCTCAAATACAATACACTGATGCCAGCTTTTTTTCTAATCTTTGAAGCAGTTCTGATATCAATTTTTTGGTATTTTTTGGAACTCTCTCAGCGATTCGGTTTTTTATCCCCTCAATCGTAGAAAAAAGCCGTTCTTCCATGGGTCTCTCCAATCTTGGGAACAGGAAAAAATCGCGGGGGTCGAATCTGGTGAATACAGTGGCTGAGGCATGATTATGGTGTTGTTTATGGCCAAAAAATTACGGACAAGCAAGCAGGTGCATTATCGTGATACAAAACCCATGAATTGTTTTTCCACAATACCGGATGTTTTCTCCGTATTGCTTCTAGGAAGGAGCGCATAACTTCAAGATAATACTCCTTATAACATTAGCCAACTAGTATTCCGACATCCTCAGCAACTTCTCTAATAATGATTCGATGATTCTCTATAACAAGTTTTTCATTTTCTCAACATTTTCATCGGTTGTTGATGTGCTGGGGCGTACATGGTGGGTGTTGTCATTTATATCCTCTCGACCTTCTGTGAAAATATTAATCGTGACGCAAAAGCCATGAATTGTTTTTGACAATACTGGACGTTTTTTTTGTATTGCTTCTCGAAAGCGGCGCATTCAAAATATCCGAAAAAATGCATGGCATGAGTTAACCGATATACCGATTTCCTCTGCAATTTCTCTGATAGTGATTAGATGATTCTCTATAACAAGTTTTTTATTTTCTCAACATTTTCATCGGTTGTTGATGTGCTGGGGCGTACATGGTGGGTGTTGTCATTTATATCCTCTCGACCTTCTGTGAAAATATTGTACCACTTGTAAACATTTTTCTGGCCCAGAGTACAATCACCGTATGCCACTGTCAATATTTCAAATGTTTTTTTTAGCACTTTATTTCATTTTTTTACAAAAAATTTGATGAATATTTTTCGATCTTTTTTACAGAAGAAAATTTCCGAACACGCAAAATACTTCTAACTTTAATATCTCTGACGAACAAACTAAACGTGCTGGACAGCTGAAACTGTGAGCATATGTTCGAGACGAGTATGCCAACATAAAAAATATAAAAGTCGCTAATCGAATGTACGTAGCCCGCGAAATTAGATCATTCACTTAATTTTTGACATCGTACATTGCTGAGTGTTTTTAAAATAAGAAAAGAAACTAAACTTTTCTCAGTTGCTTTTCCAAAATATGTTAATAATAATTGATTCTTGGTTGCTGAAAAAACAAATACAAATTCAACAAATTACTATTCAAGCAACTGCCTCAGATTGAAATGAATGAATATATCAGAAACAATTATTCTTTTCATTAGTACAAAAGAAACTCAAAAAACTCGATTACATGAAAAAAAAAAACTTCCATATCTACACAATGAACTTCCATATCTACACAATGAACACCATCGGATTATTCTGTGAAACAGAAAATGTCGTCGAGCATTGCAAATCCCCTTTACAATTGCAGTAATGATAATACTACTTAGTTTAATAGAACGGATTCGGTACGATTACCAATAAAAGTAGTCCCAAGCGGTCAGAAGCATATAACACGCCAATTTCCACTTCAATCGAGCGATCAGGGCTTTTTGCTCAGTCGGGAACTTAACTTTTTCCAACTTCATATAAGAAGTTGTTCCCTGGGGGAATCGATGGCCGGCAGTATTTTCGCGGTCGGAGGTTAACAGCCATTCTGATTCAACACCCTTCAACTTCCTTTTTCTTTTCGGCAGGAAAGAAAGAAAGAAGCTACGTCTTGATTCCACAATCGTAACGATCCGCGAACATCAGTTGAATTCGACTGTTTGTGGATTGTCTTATATACAATTTACAAAACATGTCAGATTAGTTCTTTTGAAGTTTTCAAATCAAGTCCTGTTGAATATATTTGAAAACCACAATACCCACCGTTCTGAGAAAGCGTTTTTAAAAATTAACTGACTCTAGTAAATCTATTAAAATAGAAAAATAAGTGATTGCTGAATTTTTCTGTCAATTTAAGGAAATGTGCAATACAAATTCGTTGAAGCAATTCATTGCATGAGGATCAATTAGACAGAGAAATGATGCACTTCATTATACAAAGATTTTGTTACTGTGATTTGGATTTCAAAATAGTTTTAATTATGAAAGTTTATTGCTATTCAAACCACTCACGCCAATCCAACTGGCTATTGTTCCACAAAAGAAGTGAATATTATATATTTCATGTTTTATTTAACGTTCATGATTTTAATCATTGATGAATGCACAAAATGCAGAGTTGTTGTCTAGTCTCTAAGATTGCAACACTACAGAGTGCACCACAATGATGTACAAGACCTTCCGAGTATATAACGGATTATCATACGCTCCCAGATTCATTCACGAATTGAAACATGAATAAATTAAAATATAAGTACATTGCACATATTCCTGATGAATTATGTATTCATTTCCGCGTATACTTGTGAATATTTACATTCTCATTTGTGAAAATATTTGCATCTTTCAAGCTCCTTTTGATTATATTATCAGTATTTCTTTCTGTATCACCACTTCACTTTTGTTTATCTAATGTGTCACTCATTTCACCCATTGGTATACTAATTAGCCATATCTTCAGTTTTTAAAAATTGTAATTATCTTCATTTCGGAATTACTTCTGCAAAGGCAATAAATAGTGTACAAGTATGAGATGAAAAATTCCTGACTTCGTGATGTAGATACTTTTGGGATTCTTGAAAAATTTTGCCTAAATCTGATATTGTGCAGATGATCAACAGGCAATAATTTTGTTTCATGTTTTCTACGGTACATGGGCTACATGTGAAGAATTGTTAGTCTGAGTAGATTTTCATCAAATAAGTATAATTTTTATTGAAAATAATTTTTACCAGCAAATAGTTTTAATTATGAAAGTTTATTGCTATTCATTGAGAAGGAAAACGGTACTAAAGTATATCCATCCAACAAAAAAAGCAATCTGAACAAAGATAGATGTGTGATCGAAGCCTGCTTACGCTGACCGATTACATTTAACGGCAATCGGCTGGCGGAATTCATTGTTACAGTGTCGGAGTGGTCGGTTACGTTTTAACGCATGTGGTGTGTACATATACGGTATTTTGAAGTTAATTTTTAAAA